TGTGTCCGGGTCTGTATGTCAGACTAGACTTGCCACACATTCTAGACTTGCATGGACTTTATTGGGTATATTTGTGTCCGGGTCTGTATGTCAGACTAGACTTGCCACAGATTCTAGACTTGCATGGACTTTATTGGGTATATTTGTGTCAGGGTCTGTATGTCAGACTAGACTTGCCACACATTCTAGACTTGCATGGACTTTATTGGGCCACACATATATTTGTGTCCGGGTCTGTATGTCAGACTAGACTTGCCACACATTCTAGACTTGCATGGACTTTATTGGGTATATTTGTGTCCGGGTCTGTATGTCAGACTAGACTTGCCACACATTCTAGACTTGCATGGACTTTATTGGGTATATTTGTGTCCGGGTCTGTATGTCAGACTAGACTTGCCACACATTCTTGACTTGCATGGACTTTATTGGGTATATTTGTGTCAGGGTCTGTATGTCAGACTAGACTTGCCACACATTCTAGACTTGCATGGACTTTATTGGGTATATTTGTGTCAGGGTCTGTATGTCAGACTAGACTTGCCACACATTCTAGACTTGCATGGACTTTATTGGGTATATTTGTGTCCGGGTCTGTATGTCAGACTAGACTTGCCACACATTCTAGACTTGCATGGACTTTATTGGGTATATTTATGTCAGGGTCTGTATGGCATATCTCGGTAAGGTTTTTTCACTTTTATCAACGAGTGGTGATATATTTTATATCAATAGGGTGAGATTTTATTTATCATCCAATATCATCGTAAATGAAACAAAACAAAAACTTTAAATCTACCGGTTTCATTACAAAACCAGATTTTTGTGGCGTAGGAGTGAGTACATCACTCCAAGATAGTGAACAGAAAACAAACTACTGTCATTTTTTTCAGTGCACTTTCATCACAAACAAAATAGTTCCAGTTAAAATTAATTAAATATCTCAGGAAATACTTATGTGTGATAATTAAGTTATCACCCACAGTGCAATACACCTCATGAAGAAACCTGGAAAAGAATAAAAGGAACACTTGTACTTTCATGTGTTCCCTTATTCGTTTCCATGAGTATATTTGGATTTGGATATTTTACGACAATAGAACAAATTGCAGCAGAAACGTGTACTGTCAAAGTGAAAGTCATGTCAAAGTTTGTCACAGAAACTTTCTCACAGAAACTAAAGGTGGATCGTGTCTGTCAAAATGTGCTTGTCAACTTAGTGTGTGATGTGTGAGGTGTGTGTGTGTGGTGTGTGTGTGTGTGTGTGTGTGTGTGTGTGTGTGTGTGTGTGTGTGTGTGTGTGTGTGTGTGTGTGTGTGTGAAAGTTTATTAAATGACCATTGAAATTCTCATGAAAGCGGGTGAAATGAACTGTGGTGCACCCCCTACCCCTTTCTCAAAAGCGGGGCGGTGGTAGCCTAGTGGTTAAAGCGTTCGCTCGTCACGCCGAAGACCCGGGCTCAATTCCCCACATGGGTACAATGGGTGAAGCCCATTTCTGGTGTCCCCCGCCGTGATATTGCTGGAAAATGGCTAAAAGCGGCGTAAAAGTAAAGTCACTCACTCACTCACTCATCCGCCCCTGTTTTAATAACAGCAATTCGAGGTGTTTTGGTGGCATAGTTGATGTTCTATTGTGAAGGTGCCTGCAGAAATGATACTAGCTCCAAACACTGACGAGATATGGTCTCGTTTCACTGAGGAAGTCGATGAGCATGAACTGGCTGACTGACTGAGTTTGTTTTTTACGCCGCTTTTAGCAATATTCCCGCAACATCACGGCGGGGGACACCAGAAATGGGCTTCGCACATTGTACCCATGTGGGGATTCGAACCCGGGTCTTCGGCGTGACGAGCCAACGCTTTAACCACTAGGCTACCCCACCGCCCCCGATGAGCATGAAACATTTGTAGCAAGGTGGCACTTCACTATACCGCGACCCTCTGTATACATCGCTGTTGACCTCATTACAACGAGGGTCACATGCACTCGACTTGAGGACAAGAATTTGAGGACATTTGCTCGTATTAGTCAGAATTAATGTGACAGTAACTTTTTATGTTGTGAATATTTTTTATGGCCGGAAATTGGCATGGTGAGAGGGGGCTGGACGTCTGAATCGTTTAGTTTTTGGATCAAATGTTTGCGGGCACTGTGGTTTGTGAGTTTCTAACCATGCGTTAGGCAGCCATAACCATGCGTTTTATAATTGTTTCAAGTTTGTGTAGTCCAACTGTTTGCCGTTTGAACAATCTGATGAAGAACAATCGGAACGTCTCGAACTGCGGTACAACCTGTACATTTCAACGGGACGACGATCTTTATTGACGGGAGTGGACCACATTTTAGGCGTATCCTCTCTAGCACCGTTAGGATCAGCACCCTGTCTGGTTTTAGGACCCCTTTCTGTGAAATCAAGTTCATCGGTGCCATTGGAATCGACACGAAGTTCATCCCCCAACATTTCCTGTGCTCGTCACAACATTTCCTGTGCTCGTCAGGCCCACGGAGACCGAAGTGGAATGTGCTGTTGAGCCAAACTCTGTTTATTATTGAATCTGGAGTCGAACTGCCTGACTGTTTAGCCCCCGACAACCTTTGAAGTTCACTGTCAGTAACAGCGTAGGATCTGTTTGGTAAGTTCCTTGTACCCATTGATTTAACTGTTTTGACGCGCTTCCATTATCTCCCGATACTGGTTTGTCAGCTTTCATTATCTCCCGATACTGGTTTGTCAGCTTTCATTATCTACCGATACTGGTTTGTCAGCTTTCACTATCTCCCGATACTGGTTTGTCAGCTTTCATTATCTCCCGATACTGGTTTGTCAGCTTTCATTATCTCCCGATACTGGTTTGTCAGCTTTCATTATCTCCCGATACTGGTTTGTCATCTCCCGATACTGGTTTGTCAGCTTTCATTATCTCCCGATACTGGTTTGTCAGCTTTCATTATCTCCCGATACTGGTTTGTCAGCTTTCATTATCTCCCGATACTGGTTTGTCAGCTTTCATTATCTCCCGATACTGGTTTGTCAGCTTTCATGATCTCCCGATACTGGTTTATCAGCTTTCATTATCTCCCGATACTGGTTTTTCAGCTTTCATGAACTACCGATACTGGTTTGTCAGCTTTCGTGATCTACCGATACTGGTTTGTCAGCTTTCATTATCTCCCGATACTGGTTTGTCAGCTTTCATGATCTCCCGATACTGGTTTTCAGCTTTCATGAACTACCGATACTGGTTTCTCAGCTTTCGTGATCTCCCGATACTGGTTTGTCAGCTTTCATTATCTCCCGATACTGGTTTGTAACATTTCAATATCTCCCGATACTGGTTTGTCAGCTTTCATTATCTCCCGATACTGGTTTGTCAATTGATTTCTATCTCCCGATACTGGTTTGTCAGCTTTCATCTCCTGATACTTTGTAACCTCCTGATACTGGTTTGTCAGCTTTCATTATCTCTCGATACTGGTTTATCAGCTTTCGTGATCTATCGATACTGGTTTATCAGCTTTCATGATCTACCGATACTGGTTTGTCAGCTTTCATTATCTCCTGATACTGGTTTGTAACATTTCAATATCTCCCGATACTGGTTTGTCAGCTTTCATGATCTCCCGATACTGGTTTGTCAGCTTTCATTATCTCCAGATGCTGGTTTGTAACAATTAATTATCTCCCGATACTGGTTTCTCAGCTTTCATGATCTCCCGATACTGGTTTGTCAGCTTTCATTATCTCCCGATACTGGTTTGTCAGCTTTCGTTATCTACCGATACTGGTTTGTCAGCTTTCATTATCTCCCGATACTGGTTTCTCAATTTTCATTATCTACCGATACTGGTTTATCAGCTTTCATTATCTCCCGATACTGGTTTGTCAGCTTTCATTATCTACCGATACTGGTTTATCAGCTTTCGTGATCTACCGATACTGGTTTATCAGCTTTCGTGATCTACCACACTGGTTTGTCAGCTTTCATTATCTCCCGATACTGGTTTGCAACATTTCAATATCTCCCGATACTGGTTTGTCAGCTTTCATTATCTCCCGATACTGGTTTATCAGCTTTCATGATCTCCCGATACTGGTTTGTCAACTTTCAATATCTCCCGATACTGGTTTGTAACATTTCAATATCTCCCGATACTGGTTTGTCAGTTTTCATTATCTCCCGATACTGGTTTATCAGCTTTCATGATCTCCCGATACTGGTTTGTCAGCTTCCATTATCTCCCGATACTGGTTTGTCAGCTTTCATTATCTCCCGATACTGGTTTGTCAGCTTTCATTATCTCCCGATACTGGTTTGTCAGCTTTCATTATCTCCCGACACTGGTTTGTCAGCTTTCATTTTCTCCCGATACTGGTTTGTCAGCTTTCATTATCTCCCGATACTGGTTTGTCAGCTTTCATTATCTCCCGATACTGGTTTGTCAGCTTTCAATATCTCCTTATACTGGTTTCTCAGCTTTCATTATCTACCGATACTGGTTTGTCAGCTTTCATTATCTCCCGATACTGGTTTGTCAGCTTCCACTATCTCCCGATACTGGTTTGTCAGCTTTCATTATCTCCCGATACTGGTTTGTCAGCTTCCATTATCTCCCGATACTGGTTTCTCAACTTTCATTATCTCCCGATACTGGTTTCTCAGCTTTCATTATCTCCCGATACTGGTTTGTCAGCTTTCATTATCTCCCGATACTGGTTTGTCAGCTTTCATTATCTCTCGATACTGGTTTGTCAGCTTTCATTATCTCCCGATACAGGTTTCAAGAATGTTCTACGACATCTTTCAAAGAGCAGTCATAGTTGTGTCGTCGAAGGTATCTATCAATAGATGACGCGATTCCCCTGAAAGTATTTGTCTCAAATTCACTTCCGTCTTCTATTCTTACTGACATAATAAACTTGCACAGAATTGTGTTAAGTTCTTTCGGTTGAAGTTCATGTATGTATTTCGTGAAGCTAGGCAATGGACAATTAATAATGATTGACAAGTTTAATGTCATGAAGGGCGACATGATTGACAAGTTTAATGTCATGAAGGGCGACATGATTGACAAGTTTAATGTCATGAAGGGCGACATGATTGACAAGTTTAATGTCGTGAAGGGCGACATGATTGACAAGTTTAATGTCGTGAAGGGCGACATGATTGACAAGTTTAATGTCATGAAGGGCGACATGATTGACAAGTTTAATGTTATGAAGGGCGACATGATTGACAAGTTTAATGTCATGAAGGGCGACATGATTGATAAGTTTAATGTCATGAAGGGCGACATGATTGACAAGTTTAATGTCATGAAGGGCGACATGATTGATGTCATGAAGAGTCTTCCTAGCAGTGTTTTTGTTTTCTTGCACCTGTATTAATTTGTCAATATCTGTGTCATCCACGTCAACACACCGTGAATGACGTAGAACGTAATGACGTACTTGACGTTAACGCTGCCCTCGGTCCACCTGATTTCTTTGAGATCTCGTAAGGATGGTAAAGCCCCATTAACTCGGTGCGCCTAGTGACTGCAAGAGTTGTATGATCCCAAGGGAGTTGAGATTGATAATACGATGTACCGTTGAGATTGACATCCAATGATCAAGGGCAAAACAAAGCGCCTATGAGCAGCCTAGCTGGAACTCGGCGCTATATAAACAGATTTTAAATTTTATAAAGATATAAAAAAGTGCCGACAAGTTTCATACTTGTCTCCATCAGTTCCATTTCGTAATCAGTTCCATCCAACTTACACAGGTAATTTCCTTCACCAACATAGTTCGCAACAGTAGCTTGACCTGAACTATTAACACTTTGTCACCTGGATAAAACCCTTAATCTCAATGACAGACGCCATGCTTGTTTATGTCTACCTTTTAGGGAAAAGTAGTCCCTATATGGTCAAGGTCACCTGATCAATTTTGACCAATCAGTGATCAGATGATTTTTCAGAAGTGATATCTTCAATGTAGATATCGCTTGATCTCACCCAAGCAATACCTGCTGTGGAAACTAATATTGGATGAAAAAAACACTAAAAGCAAAAGGTATCAGCAAGTGGATAAATTTGGGTCACCTAGTTGTTCCCACTTACCAGAAGTTTTGTCATATGGTGCTATTTCAAGACCCGTATTCACGGGTTAGAATCTAAGATTCAGCCTGGTCTGTCAGCATAAGACCTAGTGTATTCACTGGTTAGAATCTAGGATTCGCCGTGGTATGTCGACACAAGACCTGTATTCACGGGTTAGAATCTAGGATTCGCCCTGGTATGTCGACACAAGACCTGTATTCGCGGTTTAGAATCCAGGATTCGCCCTGGTATGTCGGTACAAGACCTGTGTTTGTGGGTTAGAATCCAGGATTCACCCTGGTATGTCGACACAAGACCTGTATTCATGGTTTAGAATCTGGGATTCACCCTGGTATGTCGGCACAAGACTTGTATTCACGGTTTAGAATCTGGGATTCACCCTGGTATGTCGACACAAGACCTGTACTCACCGTTTAGAATCCAGGATTCGCCCTGGTATGTCGGCACAAGACCTGTGTTCGTGGGTTAGAATCCAGGATTCGCCCTAGTATGTCGGCACAAGACCTGTGTTTGTAGGTTAGAATCCAGGATTCGCCCTAGTATGTCGGAACAAGATCTGTGTTTGTAGGCTAGAATCAAGGATTCACCCTGGTATGTCGGCACAAGACTTGTGTTTGTAGGTTAGAATCCAGGATTCGCCCTAGTATGTCGGAACAAGATCTGTGTTTGTAGGCTAGAATCAAGGATTCACCCTGGCATGTCGGCACAAGACTTGTGTTTGTAGGTTAGAATCCAGGATTCGCCCTAGTATGTCGGAACAAGATCTGTGTTTGTAGGCTAGAATCAAGGATTCACCCTGGCATGTCGGCACAAGACTTGTGTTTGTAGGTTAGAATCCAGGATTCGCCCTAGTATGTCGGAACAAGATCTGTGTTTGTAGGCTAGAATCAAGGATTCACCCTGGCATGTCGGCACAAGACCTGTGTTTGTAGGTTAGAATCCAGGATTCGCCCTAGTATGTCGGAACATGATCTGTGTTTGTAGGCTAGAATCAAGGATTCACCCTGGCATGTCGGCACAAGACTTGTGTTTGTAGGTTAGAATCCAGGATTCGCCCTAGTATGTCGGAACAAGATCTGTGTTTGTAGGCTAGAATCAAGGATTCACCCTGGCATGTCGGCACAAGACTTGTGTTTGTAGGTTAGAATCCAGGATTCGCCCTGGTATGTCGGAACAAGATCTGTGTTTGTAGGCTAGAATCAAGGATTCACCCTGGCATGTCGGCACAAGACTTGTGTTTGTAGGTTAGAATCCAGGATTCGCCCTGGTATGTCGGAACAAGATCTGTGTTTGTAGGCTAGAATCCAGGATTCGCCCTGGTATGTCGGCACAAGACCTGTTTTCACGGGCTAGACTCCAGGATTCGCCCTGGTTTGCCAGCACATGACTTGTGCTCGTGAGTTTCAACATCTTAGACCTGCATCTCTTTGGACCCTTCCCGTAAACCCATATTACTCACTCACTCACTCTCTCACATCAGGGGATGTCATTAGCTCAGTAGACAGTGTGCTCCTTCCCCATCTCGAGATGAGGTGGGGTAGCCTAGAGGTTAAAGCGTCAGCTCGTCACTCCGAAGACCGGGTTCGATTCCCCACATGGGTACAATTGTGTGAAGCCCATTTCTGGTGTCCCCCGTCGTGATATTGCTGAAACATTGCTAAATGCGGCGTAAAACAATACTCACTCACTCACTCCTCTTCTAGAATTCAGGTTCCTATTCTCCACAGACGTACAATTCACGAACTACTTTTCCCGGGGCAGTTCGACAATAACAGGTTCGTATTCAAATTAATTTGTAGTTTTGGTTCACATGCACTGTCTGCAACAACTGGAACCCTCCTCACAATTAAACCTGCGCTCAAGGATATAAGTGAAATATTGATGAAATGCTCATCTGACTCCATGCCTTCACACAAATGCTACTCAATAAAGTGCAGCGGTACAAGTTCAATGTGATTTGACGTATAATATTCCAAACGTAATTTTCTAAAGTGGTGTCAACATACTCTTTTGGAAACAGCATCAGATCATTTCGGTGTAGTGTGCTAAAATGCAGTCAGCCTATTCGGTGAAGTGTGCTAAAAATGCAGTCAGTGTGAGAAAAGAAACAAAACACTAGTAATAATTCGGCAATTTACATTTGTTAGCCCTAAATTCAATTTAATCATGGAAAGTTTTCTTTCGTTGAAAATAGGCAAGAAAAAAGAATAACTTTACTAAACATCCACGTGATTAGTAAGCTTCAATAATACAGGGCGGTAGGGTAGCCTAATGGTAAAGGTGTTCACTCCTCACACCGAAGATCCCGGTTCGATTCATCACATGGGTACTTTGTGTAATGCCTATTCCGTGATATTGCGGAAATATTGCTAATTGTAGCGTAAAACTAAACTCACTCACAATTACAGCAAAGGGGTGGATGAAGGTGAGCGCCCTTGCAACCCCCACCTTCCGTTCACCCCCACCTTCCTTCCATCCCAACCCCAAACACAGTCAGCCCTGGATCCGCATCTGGGGACAGTATTATGTTAACGTGATTATCAAAATAACTTTCCAATAACCGGTGACATTAACCAGATAGGAAGGCCAGGTGCAGCTGAGGCTTGCTTAGAGTTTCCCTGTGTCAGATGTTATTGAGATTCACTATTGCCGAAATTATATTAGACAGTTGGTATGTTATCAGGCAATATACGTTTCCGTTTGCTGGTAATAACCCGACTGCTGAATCCTAAATAATAAATATTACAAATGAACTTTATGAGTGCACCACCCTTTTCGTGTGCGGATAGTGAGCTGTTAGCAATATTCCAGCACTATCACTGCGGGGGACATCAGAAACGGGCTTCACACATTGTACCGTATGGGGAACCCGAGCGACACCACCACCCCTCATGTGCGAGTGAATGAGTTAACTTTATTCTTGTAATTGGGCCACCGACCTATTTTGCATTTGCAGGTGTTACAATATTCGCATGTACATGCGGGCGCCAGTATACAGTATACATGAAATACGTTTGATGGAATATTGGACGTATTGTCATTAGAGATGTCATCATTATCAATTTATTATCAAAATTTAAGAAAATTCTGTCTCTTCTGTAAGGCTAAGAAGATAAATTTGGCTAAACATATAATTAATGGATTAGTTGCTGGAAATAATTTAACACTTTCTATCTGTTTGCATAGCAGCCATATTGGACATACTTTTCAGCGATGCATGCTTAGAAATGAATGAAATATTCTTGCATTTTCCCCAAAATTGCACATATTAAACATATCATATTGCACAGTGGTGTGATTGTATATGACTGTATATTCATTTGCTGATAAGTGTGAAATGTAGGTGTAGTGTGTAGGTCAGTGTAGGTCACGCTCACAAAAGATAGGCAGTAACAAACAGGAGGTTGGTTGGCTGGTTGGTTGGTTAGATGGTTGGTTGGTTGGTTGGTTGTTTTACGCCGCACTCAGCAATATTCCAGCTATATGGTGGCGGTCTGTAAATAAGAGTCTGGACCAGACAATCCAGTGATCAACAGCATGAGCATCGATCTACGCTTGGGATATGATGACATGTGTCAACCAAGTCAGCGAGTCTGACCACCCGATCCCGTTAGTCGCATCTTACGACAAGTATTGGTTACTGAAGGCACATTCTAACCTATATCTTCAAAGGACTAGGAGGGTTGGGACACTTAGGGAAGTGAATATTCAACTTATTAATCAGCAACCGTCTGAGGCCACTTTAACGTTGTCAGCAAGAACAGGACGTTCCTGAGACCGCTCTTATCTAAATGACCTTCACATTTACGCTAGCTGGTGAGAAAGAATGGATGTTATCCTATTGCCGAAGGGAGATAAAAAGTACTTAAGTTAAAAGGTACAGGCTAATTTGGGTCACCTAGTTGTTCCTACTTGTGAGGAGGTTTCGTCTCATGAGGAAGCCATCTTGTCACATTGTTTGATCTACCCGCCATCTTCACTGACCTATTCTACGGTCCCACGTCGTTTCATTACTCAGTGCAAAAATAAACAGAACTGATTACGGATCGGTTTCAACTTAAATTCCTTTAATATATTTCGTGTGATCCTCTCTCATTGATGAAAATTCCCCCTTTCTAAGTTATTCTTTCTTCTGAATACGATTTATTGAGCAACTGATCAGTGCAACATCTGCGTAAGTGATACTAGTATTGGATTTAACGGTATTTACACATACGAACAGTTTAAAGTGAATTAAAATCCCAGTGCATGTAGATCGTTCTGAATAAATTATACGCTCTTACCGCGCAAGATTCTTCTATGTCGATCTCAAAGCAAACGTCGCGTCAGCTGTTGCATAATATATGACAATAGGAAGTCATTATTATTTTTTAATATTTTTGAGGTTTTAATAATGCATCTCACTGCACCTTTCGAGATTCAGCGGATGATGAAAACCTGTAAATAATCTGGATTGTGTGAAAAACAAATATACTGGAAATAGTTATTTTTCCGTCACATCTCTGCTTACAGGAAAGCAATTGGAATCGTTTTCCTATTTAAGAACTCTGATAACATTTTTGGTCAAAAGAGGTATTTTCGTTAGACTAACGACGTAACAGATCTTTGCGTGTCTAATGTTGTGTTTCTCCTTCCATTTTGGATGTGTCTAAGAATGTCTCTGCTCAAATTGGGTATCGTCTATTACAGTCACCGCCATTATTCAATCATCTACGGTATAAACTGTTCGGCGACGAATACAGAAAGCAGTAAGAGATACAACAATTTAGCCTCGCTTGGAAAGTCAATTTGATAAGCTGGATATGTGGCGCCGATAATCTCCCGTACCTGCACTCGCAACGACAGACTGTCATTGGACGATTATTGCACGTGTTGCTGGGACTGGATTTGTAAACAAGCGTTAACACAACCACGATTCGCCCGTGCGTCTCGTGCACTAGAGATTGACACTGCAGTGATAGCGGCTTCACGGCTTCTCTTGCACGGGATATTGTGAGTATTCGTGTTCAGTCTCGGGGTTTCGTTTCAATTTTAAACAACTGTTGGATGTAGTTTCGAAAGGCAATATTATAACACGCTCGTTAAAATTCAAGCGGAGTTACATTGACAATCCTGGCAGTGCGGTTTATTATATATGTAAGCAGGTAGTGTTGAACGGGAGCGTTTGTTTGTACAAGGCGTTAGGTCCCAGGAGGTGCGTTATAAAGCATAGTGTGGCTGACGCCTCATTATGCTCGTTATAACGTGACAGGCGTCAACGGGTTTTTTTCAATCTAAGCACGTGTTATCACTGATAACGCTTCTTGTCATGTTGTCCTATTGCTAAATACACGACTGAAAAATAAGAATGGTAATATGGATGGTGAATTAGGTCCTGCATATTTTACAATTTGTTTACGATAGAAGCTTCAGTAAGTTCGGGTTTGTTTTCAACGTATTTTCATTAACCTGACAGTTTGCCATGCTTTGTGGGCAAACCAACCATTTATAATTAATGTGTTTGATTAAATCAGTGTTTATAACCTATATGTAAGATAAATATGATGTAGTGTGTCGGGTGTGACGCGAGTGAATACTCTATAGCCTGCTCGTAACAGGATGTCACACATTAATAACCAGAAATGCTTTCTGTTGGGCCATTAGACACCAGTGGAGGTTATCACGTTACCGCGGGCCAGCTTTCAATGACATGGATGTGTGTGTAATACATCTACTCATTGAATTTGCTGGAAGCCATTCCAACTGATTTAACAAACGACCCGGTAGTCAGGTTTGTTGACTTGGTTGTAGCCTGTCTCACAGTCCCTGAACCACATTATTTTCCCAACTGCCAACCCACCCTGGTAAAGCCCAAAATTAATCAAGTCTAGAATTGCCCAGGTCCAATCTCCCAACCTACTGAGTCTCCTTTTCGTTTATTTGTTAGTATCAAAATTATATATATTCAAGGACTAAGCGTTAGTCTTATCTGTTTGATGGCATCGTATCGCAACTGTGAAGATCGACGCTCGTCATGTCAGTCACCGGATTGTCGTGTTCAAACTCTATTGTTTACAGTCACTCGCTGGAATGAAAAGAAAAAGAAAGTAAATAATATGATCTCGAGTCAGACAACTTTGAATTAATTTTTAACAACCGATTTACACGCATATTACCCAAACATGTTCATCGTTAAAAACACTGATGCAAATGTTATCTACATGAGTTGAGCTGAGTTGAGTGTTACGTCACATCGGCATTACTCCAGCCCTGTAGGGACAAGACCGAGTCTGCGTTAATACACAGTTTAAGCCCAAAGTCCAAATGTGTTTTATAAAAACATATTTATTCATGTGTGTGATGGATATAAACACTGATGTGTATGTTATGGATATGAACACTGACATGTGTGTGATGGATATGAACACTGATGTGTATGTTATGGATATGAACACTGACATGTGTGTGATGGATATGAACACTGACATGTGTGTGATGGATATGAACACTGACATGTGTGTGATGGATATGAACACTGACATGTATGTGATGGATATGAACACTGACATGTGTGTGATGGATATGAACACTGATATGTGTGTGATGGATATGAACACTGACATGTGTGATGGATATGAACACTGACATGTGTGTGATGGATATGAACACTGACATGTGTGTGATGGATATGAACACTGACATGTATGTGATGGATATGAACACTGACATGTATGTTATGGATATGAACACTGACATGTGTGTGATGGATATGAACACTGACATGTGTGTGATGGATATGAACACTGACATGTGTGTGATGGATATGAACACTGACATGTGTGTGATGGATATGAACACTGACATGTGTGTGATGGATATGAACACTGACATGTGTGTGTGATGGATATGGACACTGATATGTGTGTGATGGATATGAACACTGATATGTGTGTGATGGATATGAACACTGACGTGTGTGATGGATATGAACACTGACATGTATGTGATGGATATGAACACTGACATGTGTGTGATGGATATGAACACTGATATGTGTGTGATGGATATAAACACTGATATGTGTGTGATGGATATAAACACTGATATGTGTGTGATGGATATAAACACTGATATGATGTTGATATGTGTGGATATAAACACTGATATGTGTGTGATGGATATAAACACTGATATGGATATAAACACTGATATGTGTGTGTGATGTATAAACACTGACATGTGTATGGATATGTGATGGATATAAACACTGATATGTGTGTGATGGATATAAACACTGATATGTGTGTGATATAAATATATATAAACACTGACATATGTGTGTGATGGATGTGTGATGGATATAACACACTGATGGATATAAACACTGATGTGTGTGATGGATATAAACACTGATATGTGTGTGTGATGGATATAAACACTGATATATAAACACTGATGTGTATAAACACTGATGATGGATATAAACACTGATATGTGTGTGATGGATATAAACACTGATATGTGTGTGATGGATATAAACACTGATATGTGTGTGATGGATATAAACACTGTGTGTGTGATGTATAACACTGACACTGATGTGTGATATATAAACACTGATATGTGTGTGATGGATATAAACACTGATATGTGTGTGTGATGGATATAAACACTGACATGTGTGTGATGGATATAAACACTGATATGTGTGTGATGGATATAAACACTGATGATGTGTGTGTGATGGATATAAACACTGATATGTGTGTGATGGATGGATATAAACACTGATATGTGTGTGATGGATATAAACACTGATATGTGTGTGTGATGGATATAAACACTGATATGTGTGTTATGGATATAAACACTGATATGTGTGTGATGGATATAAACACTGATATGGATATAAACACTGATATGTGTGTGATGGATATAAACACTGATATGTGTGTGATGGATATAAACACTGATATGTGTGATGGATATGAACACTGACATGTGTGTGATGTATGTGTGTGATGGATATGAACACTGATATGTGTGTGATGGATATAAACACTGATATGTGTGTGATGGATATGAACACTGACATGTGTGATGGATATGAACACTGACATGTGTGTGATGGATATGAACACTGACATGTGTGTGTGTATGGATATGACTGACTGACTGAGTTTAGTTTTACGCCGCTTTTAGCAATATTCCAGCAATATCATGGCGGGGGACACCAGAAATGGGCTTCACACATTGTGCCCATGTGGGGAATCGAACCCGGGTCTTCGGCGTGACGAGCCAACGCTTTAAGCACTAGGCTACCCCACCGCCCCGTGATGGATATGAACTCTGACAAGTGTGTGATGGATATGAACACTGATGGATATGAACACTGACATGTGTGTGATGGATATGAACACTGACATGTGTGTGATGGATATGACTGACTGACTGACTGAGTTTAGTTTTACGCCGCTTTAAGCAATATTCCAGCAACATCACGGCGAGGGTCACCAGAAATTGGCTTCACACATTGTGCCCATGTGGGAAATCGAACCCGGGTCTTAGGCGTGACGAGCCAACGCTTTAACCACTAGGCTACTCCGCCGCCCCCTGATGGATATGAACACTGACATGTGTGTGATGGATATGAACAGTGACATGTGTGTGATGGATATGAACACTGACATGTGTGTGATGGGTATGAACACTGACATGTGTGTGATGGACATAAACACTGATATGTGTGTGATGGATATAAACACTGATATGTGTGTGATTGATATAAACACTGACATGTGTGTGATGGATATAAACACTGATATGTGTGTGATGGATATAAACACTGATGTGTGTGATGGATATAAACACTGATATGTGTGTGATGGATATGAACACTGACATGTGTGTGATGGATATAAACACTGATATGTGTGTGATGGATATGAACACTGACATGTGTGTGATGGATATAAACACTGATATGTGTGTGATGGATATAAACACTGATATGTGTGTGATGGATATGAACACTGATGGGTATGAACACTGATGGATGTAAACACCAATATGCATCTATGAGTGCAATAATCTTAAACGTGACGTTAAACCCCATTTCAACTCGGCTCCATTTCCAACTTCTGTGAACCATTTGCGATAGTGCAAGGTGACAACTCGGTCCCATCATCCCTATTTGGGACGGTATGTTTACATTGACACTGAACATATCTGAACACAACTGGACAGGACTGAACAACTTACGTAAGGATTGAGCAAAAACGGCAAGGCAGAAGTAAAATACGAAATTTGACATTTACAAAACTTTTAACAGTCAGAGGTCCCCTTTACAGCCAAAGTAATTACAAGGATATCGAATCGGTAAGCCCATTAGCGAGTCGAGGGGTTTAAGCTTTAATATGTGTTAAAAGTGTTTCTATAGTTTCCTCGTGCACCAAATGACCCCGCACTCTCAGCTGAGAGTAATTTAGACTGTATTGACAATGTAATTCATTATAAACCCGAACAATCTCTCAAGAATTCAGAATTTGCCAGTCACGCTTTCGAAATAATAGTTTGCTAAAGTTGTCTGTCATCACTAAACAGGATACAAAGACGTGTACTTGAATTTTATTCACTAGGGAAAATCCGCATTTGATGTTAATCGAGACAAGATTGTCTGTGTAGGAAATAGGTTACGCCGAATACGTCTTGTCTATCCGGTTCATCGAAGCGCAAGCGAAGCAACGTCGAGAACCCAGTCTAAGTTCTGGCCTTCGATGGACGCGGACATGGTAAGGATGTGATCGCTTTGTGTTAATACTTATAGTTGCAATGAATGAAACGAAACCCTGTCATAGACCTTACTGGGAACTGATTTATTGAAGGTTGAACTTTTGTACAATATTCTTACTGTGTTTTCATTGGGTAAAACTGTAAAACCCGGTCTGGTTCGGTAATTATGAAAAATAACTAAACGTTTCACTGCCTGAGCTGGGATAAATGTAGGCGAGTGA